GTGGGGGAGAGAGAAAGAAGGGGAGGAGGAAAAGGGAGAGGGGGAGAGAGGGGGAGAGAAGGAAAGAGAGAGAAAGAGAAGAGAGGAAGTGGGGAGAGAGGGGGTAGGGGGAGAGAAAGAAGGGGGAAGGAAAGAGGGAGAAGGAAAAAAAGTTAGAGAGAGAGAAAGGGAGGGAGGGTGGTTGGGCTGATGGTAAGGCAGACAGAGAGGGTGTTTATCGACAGTGTGGAGTGCTAAAATATTTAAGTTTACTCAGTATCAGGTGTAAATTTCAATTATAAGCTGCCCTTGATCTTGGCCTGAAGAAATGACTATAGTTTAGGGAAGGTGCGGATACTTGGAGCAGGGAAGGTTGAGGGTCCAGGCATCTGTCAGAAGTCCCACAGCGGCTGGCCATGTTTAGAATGCAGAAAGCCAACTTGGGGAAAACTCAAACCACAAGGAATCCTGGTAGACAGAGCATGTGAACTGTCTTTGTACCCAGTTTAGTTTTTTTGTTTGTTTTTTTGAGTTGGCGATTCACTCTGTCGTCCAGACTGGAGTCCAGTGTCACACTCCTGGCCACCACAATCTCGAACTGCTGGGCTCCAGCAATCCTTCCACCTCAGCCTTCTAAGTAGCTGGAACTACAAGTGTGTGCTACCATGCCTGGCTAATTGTCTTTTAAATTTATTGTAGACACGAGGTTTAGTCAAGTTGCCCAGGTGGGTCTTGAACCCATGGACTCAGGCAATCCACTCACCTCAGCCTCCCAAAGTGCTGGGATTTTAGGCTGAGCCACCGAGCCTGGCCCCTAGTTTAGTTTTGAATGTGCTGAATCTATCACTGCTGTTGAGTATGAATCTCTAAAAATGTGCAGGAAGTTGAGGTCAAATTTTTAACAGTTCTCTTAACTAAAACTAATCTCATGCGGGAGAAATGAGTTTAAGTATAAAATCAAAATAACCCTTTTACAGATGTCAGTGAAACAGAAGGGGATTTTGCAATCTCTTCAGTTACAAGTTTTAGTATGTCAAAAATATTAAATTAAGGAATGGGATACACAGTATTCCTTTCAGTGCCTATGATTTTTTCCCTCCACGATTACCATTACTTTTATTTTTCTAAAAATAATAATAAAACAGACTGGTGAACTGAGAACTATGAAGTTGAGAGGCTATGAAACAAAGATCTCCCTGCTTATTTTCCTTGTTTCTGCAGAAAACAGAATATAAAACAGAAAAGGCCTGCTCAAAGAAATGGGAAGCTTGGGTCACCAGTGCAGCAGTCAGTTGCTGGCACTGATTCTTGCTAAAAAACGCAAGGTGAACTCCCCAGGGACCCAAAAGTCAACATCTAGAATGCTTGGATGAACCAGAACGAGGAACAGCTCAGGTGATACACAAACTCCTATGACCCTTTGTACTCCCAGCTGGACATCCTGGGCTGCAGAACGCACAGTGACTTTTGAGAGTGTGTGACCAGCTCCATGTATAGGGAAGGCCCCGCCCAAGCCTGCAGAGAGAGACATCGCTGCCTAGTCACACGCACACTAAAAATGGTGTCCTGGCCTCCCTTGGAGATGGAAAGGAGCCTGGGCTGTTTGCTGCCTGCAGGATTGCTTACCTGAAAGTAACCTCTTGCTTCTCAAAACAACAACTTAGGGATAAAAGCCAAAATGAGCAGGAGACCCAGATGGTGAGGACAAGGCCTGCCTGTCTCTGAAGATGGGGACGGTGAGCTTCGTCACTCAAGTATTTTAAGTAGTTGCAAAACCCAAACGGCTCCACTTTAAGCCTGTGTTTAGATGAGGCTGGGAAAGGGCCCCACGTCTTTGCAAGAACCAAGCACCGCTTCTGATGCCAGTCTGCTTTGTGTTTGAAATGGGCGACCACATACACAAAAACAAGACCACCTACAGATGGCACCCAGGCGGTGCGTGCCACGGCCAGTCTCCCTGGCACCCAGACACGTGTGCCGGCAAAGCGCTTTCAACCCAAAGAGAATAAGCCTCCGGGCACCATGCCACAATGACTGCCAGAATCTTGCAAAGTATCACATAGTTAATTTTATATTTTTAAATCTTACAAAGATCTATAATCATGTCTTTTCAGCAGGTTTAAAACCAAACTTAAACAGAAAAAAAAAGGCCCCACCTGACCTACCGCCCTGCTGTCTCTTGGGGCCCACAGCAGTCTGTGGGACTGGGCCAGATGAAGCCCATGGATACATTATTTAAAAACAGAAAATCTAGTTACCAAACGGAAGCCGTGCAGTTGCTATAAATGCAGAGTGCTCGCGGGAGAGTGGTTTCTGCAGCTTCCAATACCCTCTTTGATTATCACTGTGTCCTGCCTTTTTATGTAGGACATTAAAGGCTCCTTCTTCCCTCCTGAATACTCCTAATGTTACAGAGCACAGGACCCTGCCTGGCCATCTCTGACAGGTCAATGATCAAACAGAGAGCCGGGCAGTGGCCAGATTCCACCCACCTCTTCAGAATGACCAGGGGCAAGGACTTCTGTGCCGTTCAGCGCCAGCTAGGACAATGAGCCCTTTCCACGCAAACATTTAACATTCTCAGACATCTTCTCACCTTCCAAACTCAGTGATTTTTCAAGAAGAAAATTATTTTAGGAATACTGTTTCCTGCCCAGAGCAAATCGACTAAAAAAAAAAAAGACCCCATCTTTCTTGTAAGAAAAAATACATAAGTTTAGATGGAAAAAAATACCAAGAGTGAATTGCCCGAGTGATCAAAGTCTGTTTACCTGACCCACCTTATCTCGACCCAGCTCAAGTCTTTGTATCAGAGTTCAGTTTCCGTAAAGCACTCACATTCACATGGACGAACCCAACGAGGTCAGCGAGATACGCTGCTTTGCTGAGGTTAGGTCAGGGTGCAGGCCATCTGTCCCCACGAGAGACAACTGCCCCAGCATTTGCCGATGCAGAGCACTCAGTCAGCTGTCCCCAGTCATCCCCAGAGCTGCCCTCCCACGAGCAAAGGAAGACGAAATGGCTGCTGCCACTGCGAGGCCAAGCAAAGCGGGTGCTCTGGGACGGCCTTTAGACTAGAGTCTTCATGCCTGACCCAGCAGAGGGGCCGTGAGAAGGAACATCCTGAGAATGCACTTTAGAAAAGGCAAGCAAAGACCATCAAAAGCCAAACACTGCTGCCACAAATGGTTTTCATTGCAGAACGGGCCGCAAGCACAGGCGAGCGAACAGGCACGCCTGGCCAGGCAGGGCATAGGGAACATTGACCCTTCCACCTTGGGACGGTACCTGTCCAGGAGGGCTGGGTGCTCGTGGAGCCTCTGCCCATGGATGGGATCTGCGGTTAAACAGAAACCTCAGTCCACACCCGCTGACCGTGAGTACAACAGGTGTGGGAACAAGGCTTTCCAACATATAAGTCTGCAAGGTACTCACACAGCCTCCAGCAAGGATTTCCGCTGCAAATGGGACCGAACCGTCCTTGTGCATAAATTTATCCCGCACAAAATCATTCACCTTGAAGAAAAATATTTATAGAAGCTGATGAAAAATATAAAGAAAGTCATTAAACACTTATAAATATGCATCTGTCAATATATGTTATTTCTTCCTGTCAGTCTATTGGAATAATCATAAACTGCACAGATTAGCAGATCTTAAAATAGTTTGAGAAGTACTCTTAATAGCATACAGGCAATTTTTAAAAATAAAAAATATGTATGCAGCCCTGATGTTTCAGGGCGAAAAACTAAAAGACAAATGGCTTACAAGCCCCAAATTCAAATATGTCCTGCAATGACAGTAGCTTAAGAAGGAGGCTATGTTGACAATGGAGATAACACAAAAACATACATTTTATAACTTAAATATTGTTTTGTAAGGCTTGATTAAGAACCATATTCAAGTCTTCTATCAAGGATTAATTGAAAACAGTACTCATCATGGAGACACATTTGGCTGAGCAGATATTTCAGCAAAGTAGAAATTCAGTGTCTAAAAATTCCTCAAGGATCATCATCAAAGAATATTAATCGCATTAATTAATTAAGTATACTATTCTCAAAATGATATGTACCACAAGGAATTTTAAGTAACAACCACATATTTTTGGCAGACATAGGCCAGAGACAAATATTAGCTGTCACAAGGTCACATAATAAAATGGCAAAAGAATTCCAGGCTCTGAGGTTCCGTGGCCCACTTTAAAACCAAAGCTTTCCTTTCTGGGCTTCGTGGCCTTGGTGTACTTGGTGATACAGTGCCTGTCCATCCCCCCATGCACTTTAATTGAGTCCCCGCCGAAGCCAAGTGTGGACAGGTACAGGGCGAGTGGTCTACTAGAAAGCTTAGCTCTGGCTCCAGCCTAGACACTCCAGCATCCAGCTTTGGCAAATGCCCATGGACCAGCCCTAAATGTGAGTTCTACAAGAAGCAGGTGGACCAGAAAAAGTGCACATTCTGAAGTCAGAGATGCTTGAGCTGTGCGAACACAGGCAGGCTATGCATGCCCTGGGGGACCTCAGTTTCCTTATCTGTTAACTACAGGTCACACTTTGCTTGAGATTAAAACCATAAAAGGTAAAGTGTGGCAAATACTGTACATGGCAGGTATTGAAGGATACTGAGCTGCTACTGCTGTTGGGACAAGAATGACAGCAACCACCAAATATCTTCTCCAAACTCACTATCACGTTTTTGGATGTCCAGTGTTAAATGGGAGTACATGACAGACAGTGTGTGGTTGGTGCCACTTAAATTAGCACCTCGGAGGGAACACACACCTGCTGTTTCACATAAGAATACCCACTCGATGTCTGAGTATGTAAGTTCCCTCAATGAGACACTCCGCTCAAAAGACTTACTGTAAGTTTTATGGCCTTTTCTGGGGCAACTCCCAATAACTGCGGCAACAGACCTAAAAATCAAAAAAAAGTAGCAGAATTTTAGATTAATTAGCATCAGTCCAACAAATCAACAGCTCTATAGACTGGATGACCACCCCCAAACTGCTTAATCTCTGGTGGAGTTTTCTGCTATTACATTTCATGAGAATATCGGAAATTAAACGTGTAAGCATGGACTTCGCACTGCTGTAGCAGGCCTGAGTCAATCCCCGCCTGTGTTCCGGGCTGCTTGCATGTTACATGTGGCAATAGGACCCATGGTGTAGGAAGTTCCATGCCCCCAACAGTCTGCCCCTTGCCCTCCCACTGAACCAGTGGACTTCACTGAATATGTATATTTCCAACATCTTTCTCATCCTTGGGAATCACTCACCATTCATCCACTCATTCCTTTAACAACTGTGACTTGGTGGTGAGCAGGGGAGACAAGACCAACTCAGGCTTACTTGCTGGGGCTTAGAGGAGGGTGAGGATATTCTGAGGAGGTGACAGTTGGGGAAAAGGCATTCAGAGGACGGGAACAGACAGGGCACAGAAAGCTGAGGGGGCTTGAGCCTGGTAAGCTCAAATGTGAGGGATGATGTGGACGGCCTCACAGGAGCTGCACAGAGAGAGCCCCACGATGGGCCGGGGTTCTGGGCCTGATTTACTCTCACTTGGATGAGAAGCCATTGAGGGCCTGAAGCAGGAGAACGATGGGCTAATTTATGTTATTAACAGGTCGCCCTGGCTGCTGTGTGGAAACCAGATAAGACACACAATGTGTGTGTGTGTGTGTGTGTGTGTGTGTGTGTGTGTGTGTGTGTGTCTCGAGAGGAGAGAAGGAGACAGAATGAAAAGCCAGGTTTGGCTGTTACTGCTTGGTTTTCAGCATGAACGATGGGGAGACGAGGGTGCCTGTGGAAAGCGACAGGTGTGGGCAGACACGTGGGCCCTCAGTCCTGGGCCCAGGAGATCAAGGAGGTACCCGGGGCACCATGGGGTGTGGCCTTCACCAGGGAAGGGTCACTTCTGGGCAAGGCAGTCAGAACGGTAGGGGATATGAATGTCTGAACAAAAAAGTCACCACTTTTAATTGTTCTAAGAAAAGAAAGGTTTTTTTGTTTGTCTTTTTGAGTCAGAGTCTCATTCTGTTGCCCAGGCTGGAGTATAGTGGCACATTCACAGCCACCACCGCCTCAACCTGCCGGACTCAGGCAAACCTTCTGATCCAGCCTTTTAAGCAGCTGGAACTATAGGCATGTGCCACCACAGCGAGTTAATTTTTTTTATTTATTGTAGGGATGAGGTCTCGCCATGTTGCCTAGGCTGGTCTCAAACCTGTGGGCTTGGCAATCCTCTCGTCTCTGCCTCGCAAAGTGTGGGGATTACAGGCGTGAGCCACTGTTTTCAGCTAGGAAAAGAAAGTTTTAAGACTCATCGATGAATGTCTTTTCTTGGAAATGCCCTCTAAGCTAGCCCTTGTCACACCGACTTCCTGAGGGCCTCATGGTGTATCCATTACCAGGAGTGCCATTTCCTCATCCATCTCCATGAGGAGGTCCCCTTGAGGCCGCTTCTGAGGGACCAGTCCCGCCCACACTCCTCCTAGGGGCAGCCTGGGGCCAGGGTTCTCCAGCTTAAGGGTTGCAAGTACCCAGCCTGTGGTGAGTTTTTTCAAGAAGTCCATGGTTTCAAACGCAACGCAACCTTCTTGCAGAGACAGACAGGTGGATCCACAGACCAACAGTCCTGTGCCACCCTCCTGATGTCACAGCCCTCTGCTATAGCTGGGCAAGGCCCCACCCTTCAGATGGGACCCAGCCTCCACTCACCAACAGGCTCGCCTTGCCCAATGTCAGTATCCCAAGGAGGTCAAGTGCAGTTTTCAGTTTTATTACTGTGTAGATGCCCTCACAACTGAGAAATGTTTCTCTCTCCTTATGGCTTTACAAAAGGGGGAACAAAATATACCACAACAGCTACATGTTTTAGAAAGAACAGAAGAAAGTACATTTCACTGTGGAACTATACAGTGATGAGGATGCTGATCTAATGAGAATGCTCATAATGCTTATCATGTGCCAGACACCACTTAAAGCATTTCATTAACGCATTTAATCCTCATAATCACTCTACAGGGAAGAAACTAAGACATACAGAGATTAAGTAATTTGTTTCAAGTTCCCTAGCTGATAAGCAGTGGGACCGGGGTTCAATCCTGAGTCCTCTCACTCAAGTATCTAATCGCTAGCACTCCTCGATGGAGCATGTGCTTAACATGCAGGCGTGTATCCACATCCCACACACAGCCCCATGTGCTCACTTCCACAGCCCACTTACTACCTTGTAAGCATTTGAATCTGCACCCCTTCTCTGGGCAGCCATGTTACCTGAGCATGCCTCATCCTGAGGGCCACAGCTGGCTGGGCAGTGGGAAGAAACCAAAAAGCTATGCAGCTCGTGGGTCACAACCTGGACCCTAGGGTCTGGTAACCAAAAGCAGAGCCAGCCAATCAGGATCTTTCTCCAGGAACAAAAGAAGAGTCAGCCAATCAGGACCCTTCTTTAGGACCAAAAGCAGTGCTAGTCAATCAGGATGCTTCTCCTGGACCAAAAGCAGAGCCAGCCAATCAAGATCCTTCCTCCAGGACCAAAAACAGAGCCAATCAAGACCCTTCTCCAGGTGGTAGCTGAAAGATCTTTGAGACAGTGGAGCCAGTAAGACAGAGGCACAACTGAGAGAATGGCTCATGTCACGAGGTCAAGGATGCAGAAACCAAGGATAATCAAAGAAGTGGGTTGGCTAGCGGAAAAAAATGTGGAGGGGTAGAGCCACCCTGACCTCCGGTCCCACTGAGACTGGGGCTCCCTTCCTCAGATCCCTAAGAGATCTCTGTGATCCTTCTTACGTGAATGGTTACCAGGAGCCCCCGTGCCCTCCCTGGTGTAAGTGGGGCTTTGCTCTTTACAGTCTAAGTGAGCCAAGGCAGCCCTCGAGGGAAAAGGAATGAGCCATTCGGGCAGAGGAGGTGCACCCACTGCAAACCAGCATCTCCCCAAAGCTGCACTCAGACATCCAAACATTCATCTACCGAGACACCCACAGCATGAGAAGGCTGGGGATACCTGACAAAGGGCAGCACAGGGTTCTACTAGCAGCATGTGGCATCCACCTGCTCATGTCTTCACATCTGAAAGTCCCATTTCACACTCTACATTCAGGTCAAGTACCAAATGTTTAGTTAAATATTTACTTGCTAGATGTATTTTTCTCATCATTAAATTGTAGACCAAAACAGTGGATGGGTTGAAAGCACTGTGATTTAAATGATGATCTCTTGTCTCCATAACTACCCCGTGACAGTCTTTTAAAATGACTAATAAAAAACAGCCCACAGAGCCAAATGACTACAGTGTAGCTACAATCCTCCAGCCAGCCGTTCAAGCTATCGAGATTTATCTTTCTTGCTGCAAATTTAGTAATGATTGTGAACAGCAAAAACAAAGAGAAAACCCTGCATTAAGACTAAAAGGAAGGCAACCATAATTATTTGTCCAGCACGAACTCAGTACGTGCCTTCTATGTGTGCCTGGTCCTGGGAGGAATTGGGTTAAACAGATATCCTGCTCCCATCTCCCCCACTCCCCCAAGAGATCCCAAGTTTGGAAGGAAAGGGAGCCCGGGTTGTCTCTGTGTGCCAAGCAGGAGACAAGCCACTTTATAATGGAGCTGCCACATACCAGAGCCCAGGAGCATCAAAAGATTCAGAACCAGTCACTCTGCCTCAGGAGGGAGGGAAGCATCAAGGAAGAAGGGCTGTTTGCTCTGGGGCTTTTGGGGGTCAGCAGAAGTTCACTGGAGAGGAAAATGGGGACACAGGGGTCCAGGTAAAGCAAACGGTGTGTGCAAAGGCACTGAGGTTGCAAGGCTGAGGCACAAAGCCAGGGCACAGAGACTGTGGCTGGATCACAGAAGGCCTTATGATACATCATAATAGTGATGATAACAACAGCAGCCAGGGCCTGGGGGCACTTGCAACATGCTGGGCACTACTCTGTGTTTCACACAGATGAACACACTTGGTCTACACAAGCACCACACTCAGTGGACATTATTTTTATCCCCAGCTACCAAAGAGGAAACCGAGCCAGCTTCAAGGCTGCTGTGGCAGCTATGCTGTGCACAGTTGTTGGTCCCACTGGTGGCCTGGCTCCGGCACCTGAGTTCTCACCTCGTACACTGTCCACCTTCTTGGCCAGGCCATGCTCAGGTACACAAAGTGCATCCTGCCGATGCATGGAGTGGCTCTGAGAGCAGAAAGTGAGCTTCCAAAGAAAGCTCCCAAGAAGGTGAAGGATGCTGGCAAGGGTGGAGGGCTGAGGCGGGAAGAGGAGGTGGGAGGCTGAAGTCACCGATCAGCAAGCTAGCAAAGCCAGGGTTCCTTCCATACAGTGGATGACTTCAACTCGGTAAGATTAAACTTACATAGACCCACTCCTGGGTGCCAGGCCTGAGGGGAGCACTCAGGGAAGTGGCGGCTAAGACCCATTTGCAGTGAGAGCCCTGGCTAAGCTGGAGCACAGAGGGGACTTGGGTTATTCGCCCAGGCTACCACACAGGTGGTCTTGCCACCCTCCATCCTGGGCCAATGCTCCTTGGGAAGGCCATGACCTGTGGGACAATGAAAAGTCAGGCAGGCATTCCAAGGACCCTGCTTCACCTCAGCCTATGAGGAGCAGGGCGATTTGGCCCCAGTGCCGGCAGCAGCCAACCCAGGGGCAGTCATGGTCACATCTGAGGGCAAGTGTGTGGGACACCTGAGGAACATGGCAGAAAAATCAGGTTTCGAATATAAGATGCTTCTGTTGGGTCCTGGAAATTCATTTTAACCATTGAAATGGAGAACGGACGTATGTCATTTCTAACTTGTCAAAACAGCAGTCCATTTCTCAGCTGGCTCTGGTGAGGTTTATGCATACGGTGAGCTCTCTAAGCTTCTTCTTTTAGTCGGGCTCTGTGAGCACACAT